GCATGTGCTGGGATTAAAGGTGTGCGCCACCACCTTGGGCTGCACATGGTTTCTGTTTCCTGTTTTCAAATGATTAATAGCTTACAAATTTCTCAGTTTTAGTTTCCAGTGCAGTAAATAGTAATAGTTCCAGCCCACATAAACAGGAGCTTTTTGAGGAGCTTCAGCTAGCCAGTCAACTCGCCTACACCACCCACTGCAAGCTCAGGAACTGTGTTTATAGCCAGACACAGTAATCCCAGCAGTTGGAATAGTGGGCAAGTGGCCTAAGAGTTCCAGGCCACCCTGGCCTACGTGGTGAGAGGGACAGAAGAGAGCACATAGCCCACAGTACCAAGTGGACTGACTCTTCCAGCCAGAGGTTGAAGCACTATGATTCCAGCCAAGCAAGGGTCTCAGGCCTCTCTGTGTCCCCGTGTGAGGAGAGGGCTAAGACCGGCTGACTCCGGGACTGCCATCTGCACAAGGCTGCCATCGTCTTTTGATGTTTGTGTGACTAAATCTCAGGTGAGGGAGAAAAATGCACAAAAGTTCTTTGGACTCCTCAAAGTTTTAAGAGTAAAAGGAATCTGGAAGGTAAGAAGTTCAGGACAAACTCAACTTTTTTCTCCCCTGTGAAACAAAACCAGTTGTACATATTGTGGTGCAATATGGTCTCGACCACTTGTTAATCATCTTTTAACTTCTGTGTCCAGGGATGTGAGTCCCCACACAGGCATCTTAAACAAGAATGCTCTTGACAGAGTTCAGCACACATGCCCTTTATCCCCTGTTAAAGTGGCAGCAGAAAGCATGCCTATACCATGACCACAGCTCTGCTCTCCCTAGAGCATGTCAAAAGAGGCAGAAGTATATAAACTTTAAAATATATTTAGAAATCAGTGTCTGCCCGGTCACAGAAATATCCATGTAGCCACCACATAACCAATCCATTAACACATTGAGCACGTAAAGGTTATTAGAAATGGTCTTCAATGACATATAATGAAATATATTTGTTGTTCTTAAAACCTGTTCATGTGAAAGCCTCAAAAGGGGCCCGTGCCAGGCTGCTTCTTTCGGGCCACCAGCCAGCTCCCAAATCATGACACGGAGAATTATTAGTTTTGAATGCTCAGCCTTAGCTTAGCTTTTTTCTGGCCAGCTCTTTTAACTTAGGGGGCTTTTTACCTTTCTTTCCTTCTGTATATCTTACTTTCACTGCTTCTCATGTCTGCAGGCTGGCCCCGGCCATCTCCCTTGCTGCTGCTCCTCCTCCTCCTCCTCCTCCTCCTCCTCCTCCTCCGCTCTCATTCTTTTTTCTCTCTTGAGCCTAGAGTTCTCCTCCTATTTAGTCTCTCTGCCTGGCAGCCCCGCCTACCCTTTCTCTGCCTAGCTGTTGGCTGGTCAGAGTTTTATTAGGCCAATCAGGTGCTTTAGTCAGGCAAGGTGAAACAAATGTAACACATCTTTACATAATTAAACAAGTGCAGCATGAACAAAAGTAACACACCCTTACACAGTTAAAGTAATTAATATTCTGCAGCAGAAACAAACGTATCACATCTTTACATAATTAAACAAATGCAGCATAAACAAAAGTAACACACCTTTACACAGTTAAAGTAATATTCTGTAGCAGAAACAAACATATCACACCTTTGCCTAGTTAAAGCAAGATTCTACCACGGGGCCAGTGGCATGTACTTGGCTAGAGTTCACCCAAAGCATCCAAGTCATCAAAGACAAGGGAAGGAAAGCTCACAGCCAGGAGAAGCCTAAGGAGATAGAGAACGAAGTGTGGTGTGGTGTCCCAGAGAAAGTAGTGAAGAGAAACAAGCAAAAACTAAACAAGGAAAATGGCCGGGTGTCCTAGGGCTCTGTAACTGTATATGCCATAGTAACTCCCGGTGCTAGCAGTTGGGGGTAGGACGCGTACAAAATAGGACCTCTTCAACTCCTCTAAGTCTAAACATATAAAGAATAAAATCTAGACTAGGGTATGGCTCAGCAGTGGAACCCTTCACTAGCAAATAATTCAAAAATAAAATATATTAATGAAATTTAGGAATAAATAATTACTATTGAAATTAAAGTTTTCCCAAATAATAATTCATCCCATTTCATATAAGTTTGATTTTTACTAATTTTCATTACTGTTTTTCTTTTAATTTCTTGAGAATCTCATGCATGAGTACACTGAATTTCTCTCTCTCCAACCTTCCCTCTTCCCATGTCCCCACCCCACTGATTTTTTTAAATGAACTTAGAAAAATTTTAGGAATTTGAGTTTATGTAACTAAGTCTTTGGTAGGTAACAGTAATTTAATTTTTATTCAAGACAGCTAAGCCTTTCACTTGTGTTAAGTATTTATCTAATGCAGCCTTTGTTTTTCCTAAACTTAACACTGGTGAGGATGAAACAAGCTGAAAAACAAATTGTAGAATAGTGCATTCAGAGTATAGAGATGTGGTTTCTCATTTGCCCAGAAATGTATGAATTGATTGCTCTAAGTATTGAGAAGTCTAACAAAAGCCTTTTATTTGAGGATTTTGTAATCTAGTCCATCAGTACTGTCGAGAGGTGGAAAACATGTCAGTTTGGTTCTTAGTCTTTCCACATTATTGACACATGGTGAGGTTTGTTTTTCTCTTTTTTTAAGCTGCAGAGATCCTAGTATAAGCTCCTGATTGACAGAAGTCCCTGAACCGAAGGTTTAAAAACAAACCAAGGAGTTAGGCGTGCAGCTCAGTTGGAGGAGTGCTTGCCCGGCATGCGCAAAGCCCCAGCGACTACATACGCCAGACATGGCGGTGCGGTTGTTCATTCTGTGTGTATGTGTGTGTGTGTGTGTGTGTGTGTACACGCACGCATGCACGCACGCACATGAGAGAGATTGTCAACTCTTACCTAATAAACAGTAAACTTCTGCCAATCCTTCTGTAGAACTCTGTAGAATACATAGCACATAAAACCAACCCAGTCATTGATTGTGGCCACTAGCCTGTTGGCCACATGTGAACTAAATAAAATCAAAAGAGGCTATATAAGAAAGCTGAGAAGTGGGTACTGAATGTTGCATCCTGTGATTTACCAGGAAACAAGGGAAGATGAGGGGCACTGCTCTAGCAGTGGAGTCGCCTGGCTCAGGTAACCGGTGGGCATCGGTGGATGACTGTTGAAGAGGCTGAGGAAGTGGTTCAGTGGGTGAGGTCCTTGCCAGGCTGGCATGAGGATCTGAGTGCAGATTGCCAGCACCCATGTAAAAGCTGGATACAGTGGTAGATGTGTGTAACCGTGGGATGTGTGTGGAGACAGGTAGAACCTGGGGGTCACTAGCCAGCCAGTCGAGCCAAAATGGCGAGCTCCAGCTCTGGTAAGAAACCTTGTCTCCAAAATAAGGAGGAGTCGGGCTGAAGAGACAGTCCAGGGTTAAGAGGACATGCTTCGCAATCATTAGGAATTCTGATCCCAGCGCCGACCCAGCTGGCCATCCTGCACACCCTGGAACCCTAGTTCTTGGGAGGGTGCAGACTGAAGGATTGTTGGAGCTTGCTGACTTCAAGCCTAATGAAGAAAGCATAAGCCACTTAGCTCTGGGCAGAAGGGTAAAGATTTAGAACTCAGTTAAAAAGTGTACTGATTTAGGAAAGTGACGGTAATAAGTTCTCCTCTAGGGTCCTTGATCTTACACGGCACAGATAGTAGGCTGGACTTACAGTGCCAAGCACGAATTCCCTCCTGTGGAGTGGACCTTCAGTCCGACTGGACCGCTGTTGATTGCCTCCAGGATACAGTGCCAGGACTGCATCCGTGGCGCCACCTTGCCATGGTGGTCATTGTTGTGGTTTGTAGGTTTGACAGCTGGGTAGGGCTACTGTAGGACTGCTCCTGTCCCTTGACGGCTTGCCTAGCATTTTAGGATACTATGAGAGCTAGTCCACAGGAGGAGGCTTCCAGATCAGTTCCAGCCCGATTTCTCCAAGCCATATGCCTGACATGTGGTATTTCCAGCAATAGGGCCTTCCCTTCAATTTCTGGGAAGCAATCAAGGACAACAGCAATAGCCATATTATTTTGAGAGTCTCTTAGACTCCCTTGACCAACAGCCTGAAGGAAGTTTCCCATGCCTGGCACTGGGACTTTTGTTGGCTAGTCTAATGCTCTTGGCTAGTCTGATTCTCTTGGGGAACATTGTCGCCCAAGTGGCATAGATTCATTCTGTGTATATGTGTGTGTGTACGTAAAATATTCAAACATTCTTAATGTTACTTATCCCTCTTCCATCTCCACTTCCCAATTAAATCCCCATTTTTTCCCCATTTCCCCCTTCATGGCACCTGTGTCCCATCCCCCTCTCTAGAGTATCTGTTCTCCTTCGCCCACATGGTCCCTTTTGTCTTCCCTGTTTTATGTGGCGACTCCAGGTTACGTACTTACATCTAAAGATTTCGAGCTAGGAGTCACAGATGAGAGAACAGGCCACATTTGTCTCTCTGGGTCTGGGTTACCCCACTTATATTTTTCTTAGTTCTGCCCATTTACCTGCAAATTTCATGATTTCGTTATTCGTTAATCGGTTGAAGGAAAATTTTCTTTTTCCTTTTTTTTGTTTGTTTGTTTGTTTTTCCAGACAGGTTTTCTCTGTGTAGCTTTGCACCTTTCCTGGAACTCACTTTGGAGACTAGGCTGGCCTCGAACTCACAGAGATCCGCCTGGCTCTGCCTCCCAAGTCCTGGGATTAAAGGCGTGCGCCACCAACGCCCAGCCAGAAATTTTTCTTTTAAACCTTATCCTATCCAAAATAACCTGGGTGCTCCCTTTCTGTACCTTGTCATATCTGTGTTGAAGATACTGATCTCTTTCTTGTCTCTAAAGGCTTTTATGCTATTGGATGACTGGTCCCTGTTTCTGTAACCTCTGTGTAACACATGTGGCAAAATGGATCCTTGGCAGATTGGAGACCTATCTGGCCATAGGAATCTAGCTCATGTGGCTGACAAAATATTTCTCATTTCAGCTCCTGGTGGGCCCATGTAGAAATGGGACCCCCAGATCCCATCCTGGGAGTTACTGAAGCCTTCAAGAGAGATACCAACAGCAAAAAGATGAACCTGGGAGTTGGTGCCTACCGAGATGATAATGGGAAGCCTTACGTGCTCCCCAGTGTCCGGAAGGTGAGCTTGGCACCTGTCCTGTTTGCATAGGGTGTGGAACCTGAAGGGAGCCGAAAGGAATGAAGGCAGTGCTGAACCAGGACTCAGGAGCCCCAGGTTCTGGTCCTAGCACTGGTTTTGTCAATCACCCAGGTTTTCTAGGCTATGATCTTTCTTAGCTGTGAACATGGATCACAGCCACATGGTCTTCTCCAAGATCAAAAGTCGGGCCTGGTGCCTAATCCTAAGAGGGTACAAGAGGGCTAGAATTTTAACATCATCTCTTAACAAGAGGAACAGCCACCTGTGGATGAGGCTGCCGTTGTTATTTTCCATTCCTCTCATTTTGATTGCTGGGGTGAAATCCATGTATAGAGGCATGTGCTGTCCACCCTTCCTGCTGAACTACATGATAACTTCTTTCATTCTCTACTTTTGTCACATTTTTATTTCTATTGGTTTTAAAGTTATTCAGGGCTGGAGATACTAGATGTGAGTGGTAGAGTGTTTCCTGACATGCAAAAGGTTCTGTGTTTGATGCTCAACATCACAAGAAAAATCCTAAAACTGTATTCAGTGACTGATAAGCTATTGTTGCAGGCTGCACCACAATCAAACACTATTGTCCATTATCTCATGCACACTTCACCACAACCCTATGACTTGGGAAGGGTGACTATTTTTTGCCCACAGTCACACAAATAGTGAAAGTTCTTGGACTAACATATATCCTGAAATGCATTCCTTTTATACATTTAATTTGATTTTGTCATCTCACATATACCTAACATGTTGCTTGTAAGTTTTATTTTTATTTTTTTATTTTTTATTTTTGGAGCTGAGGATTGAACCCAGGGCCTTTCACTTGCTAGGCAAGCGCTCTACCACTGAACTAAATCCCCAACCCCAAGTTTTATTCTTATGCATTCAAGAGAGCCCTATTATGTTAAGTGGTAACCAGGAAAGTCTATACCTTAGTTAGGGTTTCTAATTCTGTGAAGAGACACCATGACCACAGTAACTCTTATAAAGGAAAACATTTAGTTGGAGCTGGCTTACAGTTTCAGAGGTTTAGTCCATTATCATCATGGCAGGAAACATGGCCATGTGCGGCAGACATGGTGCTGGAGAAGAGTTCTACATCTTGATCCCCAGGCAACAGGAAGTGAACTGTGTCACTGGGCATAGCTTGAACATAGGAGACCTCAAAGCCCATCCCCACAGTGACACACTTCCTCCAAAGGCACACCTACTCCAACAAAACCACAGCTCCTAATAGTGCCACTCCTTGTGAGTGTATGGAGGCCAATTACATTCAAACTACCATAATATCTTTCCATGTAAAAACCTCTCTTGATGACACACACATACTTGTGCCGGGCATAGCACATCTTTAATCCCAGCCCTCAGGAGTCAAGGGCAAGAAGATCTGAGTTCAAGGCCAGCCTGTTCCATGTAGCAAGTTCCAGGACACCCAGGGCTGCATAGACAAACCTGTCTCAAAACAAAATAGGTTCCAAGCCAACCTGCGTGTCTTGGCTACTTTTCTGGTACTGTTAACAAAACACCCTGACCAAGGCAAATCATAAAAGAAAGTGTTTAATTGAGCTATGGTTTCAGTCCATGACAGCAGAGCAGGGTCATGGTGGGAGAGCACCTGAGAGCTCACACCTTGATCTGCAAGTAAGAGGGGTGGGGGGGGGGGGGCACACCAGGCATGGCGGGAGTCTTTTGAAACCTCACAGCCTGCCTCTAGTGCCACACCTCCTCATCCTTCCAAACAGTTCCACCAACTGGGACCAAGTATTCAAGCATATGAGCCTATGGGAAGCATTCTCATTCAAACCACCACCCTGGTCCATATAAGGAAACCTGATCTATAATAGTAGAATTTTTATTTCCCAAGATTTTTATATATATATATATATATATATATATATAATATAATACTATATATATATATATTTATATATATATAATACAAATATATACAAAAATTTGATGTACAAAATATCAAATATTTCACTTTATTTTTTTTTTGTTTCGTTTCTTTTTTTTTTTTTTTTTTTTTTTTTTTTTTTTTTTGAGACAGGGTTTCTCTGTGTAGCTTTGTGCCTGTCCTGGAACTCACTTTGTAGCCCAGGCTGGCCTTGAACTCACAGAGATCCACCTGACTGCCTCCCAAGTGCTGGGATCAAAGGCGTGCGCCGCCACCGCCAGGCTTATTCTTCTTCTTAAACAATAACTTCAAATGAATTAGAAGGCCTGCCAGCTGAGCAGAAAGATCACAAAGGCCCAGGAGTTCATAGTCCGCCCAAACAGAAACGTCTCAGAGTGGAAGAGGGATGTGGATGGATTTGCTTCGGAAATTTACCTCATAAAACATTTATTGTATGTAGGTGGAAGGAGGGAAAAGAAACTAAAACATATTTTCTCTTCTCTAGGCAGAGGCCCAGATTGCTGCAAAAAATTTGGACAAAGAGTACCTGCCCATCGGGGGGCTGGCAGAGTTCTGTAAGGCTTCTGCAGAACTGGCCCTGGGTGAGAACAGTGAAGTGCTGAAAAGTGGCCGGGTAAGCCAGGCGGGCCTGAGCTTCACGCAGGCTCCGTGTAAATACCTAGCGATTGTAACTCAGTGTCTATGTGTGTAATGCCTGAGGCGGCCACACTTACTGATAACTACTTTCTAGAGAGGAAGTTTAACTCTATCGGTTATCTTGAAAATTTGACAGAATTTGGCTGATAGCTCTGGCCCAGTTTGCTGTTGGTGCTGATGAGTTTCATCTGTTTATATTGACTAGGAATTAGAAATGCCTCCCTGTGCCTAGTTTTAGGCCTATAATTAGTTCCCACAATCATGTGTTAAGCTTCCAGCTGGGACAGAAGAAACACCAGGGAACTAGCCATGAGCAGACTGGGGGCAGGGAAGGGGACAGGTGTGGTGTCCCCTACTGCACTGTCACAGCCCAGGTGGGCACAGACAAAGAGAAGAAGATCCCAAAAGACACACGTGCAGACTGGCCTACCTTCTTTTGTAAGAAAAAGGAAGGAATCTTAATGGATACACTCCCATATTTACTTTTCTACCTAAGACGTAAAAACATAGAGGGTAGTGTGTATTAATAGCTCAATGGTGGAATGCTGGCCTGACATGTGCAAGAGCCCTGGGTTCAATCCCAGCACCACAGAAAATAAAAACAAATTATACCAACACTATCCCAATATACTTGGTGATGATCTAATTGTTTAAAGAACCTTGGTCAGAGGGTTGTTGGATTTTGCATATTTCTAAAATGATGTTTGAATGTGGTGACTTTGTATATCCACGCCATGGCATGTTCCCATCCCCCATACACACACGGTACGGGTAACTAAATGGAGCTGGAGAGCTGGCTCAGTGCTTTAGAGCACTTGTTGCTCTTCTAGAGAGCCTGGGTTTGATTCCCAGCACCTGTGTGGCAGCTCACAAGCATGTGTAACCCCAGATCCTAAGTTGCTGGGGATCTGACACCTCCTCCTGACCTCCTAGGGCACTGGGCGTGAGCATGGTGCACATATAAACATGCAGACAAGATATTCATGTATAGAGAGTAAATAAGTATCCCTGTATAAATAATCAAGTCAGTAGATGAAAGAATTAAGCTCTGAAGTGCAGAGGGAAGAGTGACGGACCCTCTGTCTCCCCACAGTTTGTCACTGTGCAGACCATTTCCGGGACGGGAGCCTTAAGAATCGGAGCCAGCTTCCTGGTGAGTGGAACTCCCTCAAGAAAGGACATTAAGTTAAAGGTTAACAGGACTTTCTAGCCTATGTGTGGCTACTCACCCACATCAGCCTTCCTCTTTCCACAGAACTGGCAGGTTTTCTGTTCTCTGGTGGAAAAAAAGAAAGTACTGTGGAGAAATTATAAGGAGTCAAGTACTAATGAGTCAGTGTATTGAGCATATGGTTGTGGGGGGGCGGGGGGAGGTCTTTGGGTTTGGTTTTGGTTTTTTTTATTCTTTTCTAACAGGGTCTTACTATGTATCTCTATCTGTCCTGAAACTCGCTATGTAGACCAAGCTGGCTACGAACTCAAAGGGATCCGGCTGCCTCTGCCTCCTGCGTTCTGGGATTAAAAATGAGCCACTGTGCCCTGCACAGCATGTAGCGTTAGTAGGAAGCATGTGTTTTAACTTACTCAGTCCCTGTCTTAGTTAAGGTTTCTATTGCTGCATCAAAAACACCATGACTAAAAAGCAAGTTGGGGAGGAAAGGGTTTATTTGGCTTACACTTCCATATTGCTCTTCATTTTCAAAGGCAGTCGGGACAAGAACTCAAACAGGGCAGGAACTGATGCAAAGGCTATGGAGGAGTGCTGCTTACTGGCTTGCTTCCCATGGTTTGCTCTGTCTGTGGAACCACCCTCAAAAGGTTGGGTTCACACCCATCAATCACTAATTAAGAAAATGCCTTACAGCTGGATCTTATAGGGGCCTCCTCTCAATTAAGGTTCCCTCCTTTCGGATAACTCTAGCTTCTGTGTCAAGTTGACGTTAAGACTAGCCAGCGCAGTCCCTATAAAGGAAATTCAGTCCGTGAGGCCTGCATAGGTGTTTCACCACATAGCCATGTTAACTGTCAGAGCCTGGAGCCCCACCCAGGCCATCTTGCTACTGTCAGTAGAAAAAAACTTCCTCTCAGAAAAACCCTGGCATTTTGCCCTCTTTCTTCATTTCCTTTCCTCCCATCTTTCAGCAAAGGTTTTTTAAGTTCAGCCGAGATGTCTTTCTGCCCAAACCATCCTGGGGAAACCACACGCCCATCTTCAGGGATGCCGGCATGCAGCTACAAGGCTATCGATACTATGACCCCAAGACTTGTGGATTTGACTTCACAGGAGCCATGGAAGACATTTCAGTAAGTGTGCCTTTCCAGCCTGGCATCTCCCAGCTGCTCTCATCATCTGACTTAGAGGGGACCACCTGACTCCCAGGTCTCAGGTCCTCTGTCACCTCTCAGCTAACAGTGACCCGTAGCGTGCCGGCTATTTCCTTTAAAGCTGTGCAGCAAAATCTCCATTGTTTCCCTTAGAAAATCCCAGAGCAGAGCGTCGTCCTCCTGCATGCCTGCGCACACAACCCCACAGGCGTGGACCCGCGTCCAGAGCAGTGGAAGGAGATCGCGGCGGTGGTGAAGGTGAGCGGGATGAATTGTCAGTAACTCATTGCTTAGCCTTGAGCCTGCCCCAAACCTACACATGGATAAGCTGCCAGGAAGGGGTTCCTCCTTTGCAAAATTAGTGGTTCCGTAATAGACGATATGTGAACAGTTTGAAAATGATTTTCATCCTTCAGCCCAGATGTAGTAATAAAACTGTCAAAAACTTACCTTTGGCACAAGGGCTGTTCTGGTCCAAGAGGCCTGCTGGTGGCGCCTCCGTTTGTCCCGGTCAGCGGCTACTTGCTCATCCTTTTAAGCACGTCTTCATATCCCCTTCTTTTCTTGCTACTCTGCTCAGCATTGACTTCTCTTTCAGAAGAGCTGGCTGTGATGGAAGACACTAATCAGAATTCCTAGAGAGAAAAATACCCTGTCATCCCCTACCCCCATTCTTAGCAGATTTATCAAATCTCAGCTTCCAATAGAGTGAGACACAGAAGGAGCCTGCAGAGAGCGCTTTCATAGGGTCATCTATGAGCCCAGGTATAGGATAGTGCTTCATCAGAAAGTCCTGCTAGTCCTGCCCAAAAATAATATCCCAGACTACCGTAGGCCTTAGAAATGCCTCCTGCACTGGATGTTAAAGGTTCTCTTTTGTCAGTGTTTGTTGAGGAACCATAGCATCAAAGTATTTAAAAAATAATAGTAGCCGGGTGGTGGCGCATGGCTTTAATCCCACCACTTGGGAGGCAGAGGCAGGTGGATCTTTGTGAGTTCGAGGCCAGCCTGGTCTACAGAGCAAGATCCAGGAAAGGCGCAAAGCTATACAGAGAAACCCTGTCTCGAAAAACCAAATAATAATAATAATAATAATACTTTGAAGTATGTTGATAAATTAACTCTGGAATTCAGACATCTTCCCTTCCTCCATGTGTGGAGAAACTGTTGACTGTGTTTGGGTGAAACAAATGTGGTCTATGACAGCACATGTAATCATTGGGCATATGCAGGTGCCTGTCTCAAACTCTGGTCTTGTTCCTTCCCAGAAAAAGAATCTGTTTGCATTCTTTGATATGGCCTACCAAGGCTTTGCCAGTGGTGACGGTGATAAGGATGCCTGGGCTGTGCGCTACTTCATCGAGCAGGGCATTAATGTTTGCGTCTGTCAGTCATATGCCAAGAACATGGGCCTATATGGTAAGCTAGAGGACCCAGGTGTATTCTGATGAGCTCAAAGGAGAGCTTGGGGAGAATGCCCCAAAGCAGAAAATTTAGAGGGACAAGGTAGTCCCTGAATGGGGAGGTTTGTATGTGCTCACACTTGTGTGTTGGTTATACGTAGTCTTCCTAAGACAGAAAAAGTACTGTCGATTTTCTAAGCCATATCTTCAGTCTCCTTAAATTCCTGTAGCAAAAAGAACAACTGATTCTTTCTGTATGCAAAGTAACTGATACAGGAGCCAAGAGGATAAATACATTAAAAAGACATCCTGGGGGGCTGGAGATGGCTCAGCGGTTAAGAGCACTGGCTGCTCTTCCAGAGGTCCTGAGTGCAATTCCCAGCAACCACATGGTGGCTCACAACCATCTGTAATGAGACCTGATGCCCTCTTGTGGAGTGCAGGGACACATGCAGGCAGAACACTGTATACATAATAAATAAATAAACTTAAAAAAAAAAAAAAGACATCCTGGACCAGCAGTGGGGCTCAGTAGGTAAAGGGGCTTGCCACCAAGTCTGATGGCTGGAGTTCAACTCACATGGCTGAAGGAGAGAACTGACTCCCACACATTGCCCTCTGACCTTCACATGTGCAGTCGTGCACCGCTCCAACCCCAGAAATAGTAAAAAAAGAAATGATAATGTCAGGCATGGTGGCGCACACTTTAATCCAGTACTTGGGAGGCAGAGGCAGGAGGACATCCGTGAGTTCGAGGCCAGCCTGGTCTATAGAGCCAGTTCCAGGTCAGCGAGGGCTACACACAGAAACTTTGTCACAAGAAAAAAAAAATTTTTTTTTTTTTTTTTTTTGAGAAGATATTTTCTGTTGTGCTTCAGTTCACAACTCACCATTCTAAACAGTAAAGACTATTTATAATAAGGAACTAGCTGGGCAGCAGTGGCACACACCCTTAATCCTAGCACTCGGGAGGCAGAGGCAAGCGGATCTCTGAGTTTGAGGCCAGCCTGGTCTACAGAGCGAGATCCAGAACAGGCACCAAAACTACATGAGAAACCCTGTCTTGAAAATCCAAAAAAAAATAAGGAACTATTAGGCCAGATGTGGTAGCTCATACCTGTAATTTCATCACTCTGGAGGCTGAGACAGGAGAATCGCCTATCTCCAAACCTGGGGTACAAAGTGATACTCTGTCTCAAACATACATTAATGCTGTGGTTCTTCTGACAGAACAGACACCATGTAGCAAATTTTATCACTGCTTGTTTTAACATGCTAGAAGACGGTATCCACTGTCTTTTCAGGTGAGCGTGTGGGAGCCTTCACTGTGATCTGCAAAGACGCAGATGAAGCCAAAAGGGTGGAGTCGCAGCTGAAGATCCTGATCCGTCCCATGTATTCCAACCCACCTCTCAATGGCGCCAGGATCGCAGCGACCATCCTGACCTCCCCAGACTTGAGAAAGCAATGGTAATGATTCCTTGCTGTTCCATGCTGTACCTTACGGTTCCACGTGTGGAAGATGAAGAGGAGGTGTGCATTTTGTTGGCACAACTAAGCTTGGTATTTCCCCATAAATTCAGAAATGGCAGCCTTTTTTATTCTATAATCTCTGCATTTAGTAAAACCTGCCTTCCCTTAAAATTGAGTTCAGCTGAAGTACCTGGCATAGGAAACTTCCTCCAGAAGATACTTCTGTTTGTGGTGCTGGAGGTCAGACCCAGGGTGTCGTGCCTGTGGACAAGCACCCCGCTGTGCTATGTCCCTGGCCCTGTGCCTTTTTCTCACTGGCTAACACTGAATCAGTGTTTCTGCATACTTTGGGTTTTTATTATCTATACTCAGTCTCAATACCCATTCTCTAATGTTAATCTTTTAAAAATAATTTTTAAAAGATTTATTTTCTTTGGACTGGAAACATGGCTTAGCAGTTAAGAGCAGTTCTGAGAAGAGGGAAGACTTGGGAATCAAGCAAGCGGGGCTGTCTGCACACAGGACTGTCTTCTCCAGTCCCCAGTGAGAATAGCCCTCTCTTCTCCATGGCCCTCCGTTATCCAGCACTGCTCTGTTTCATACCATGCTGCCTTGTGCCACCATTGGCTTTTTACAAGTTTGGTCTTTAACCTCCATTATAACCTTTTAAGGGCTGTGACCACATCTCAGTCCTCAGCACCCACTGTATGGCATAGACCATGTAGACTTACAGTTTGTTGTCTTTATTATGAAGACAAGAATGTTTGTTCCAAGTTTAAAAGTGTCACATTAGGGCTGGAGAGATGGCTCAGTGGTTAAGAGCACCGACTGCTCTTCCAGAGGTCCTGAGTTCGGTTCCCAGCAACCACATGGTGGCTCACAACCATCCGTAATGAGATCTGGTGCCCTCTTCTGGCCTGCAGGGACACATGCAGGCAGAATACTGTATACATAATAAATAAATAAATAAAAAAAAAAAAAAAAAAAGTGTCACATTAGCCAGGCTCTGGTGGTGTACGCCTTTAATCCCAGCACTCAGGAGGCAGAGGTAGGCAGATCTCTGTGAGTTCAAGGCTAACCTGGTCTACAGAGCGAGTTTCACAACAGGCTTCAAAGCTACAGAGAAACCCTGTCTCAAAAAAAAAAAAAAAAAAAAAAAAAAAAAAAAAAAAAAAAAAAAAAAAAAAGCATTGGCTTCTGTGCCAGAGGACCTGGGTTCAATTTGCAGCATCTAAAAGGTGGCTCACAACCCCCTGTAACTCTTGCTCCAGGAGATTCAGCACTCTCTTCTGGCCTCCAGTGGCACCAAGCACACAAGTGATATATACACTGCAGGCACAATACCCTTACACTTATTTTTCTAAAGTTGCCAAGCAAAGTACTTACAGTAAAAAAAAAAAAAAAAAAAAAAAACACTGCCGGGCGGTGGTGGCGCACGCCTTTAATCCCAGCACTCGGGAGGCAGAGCCAGGCGGATCTCTCTGAGTTCGAGGCCAGCCTGGTCTACAGAGCGAGTTCCAGGAAAGGCGCAAAGCTACACAGAGAAACCCTGTCTCGAAAAACCAAAAAAAAAAAAAAAAAAAAACACTTAAAATGTTTGTCCACCAGGCACTGGCTGTGGCCCGGTTAAGGACTAGGGATTCAGGCATTCCGAAGATGAACTCAAGTGTAACACAATGCTTGGCCAGAGCAAGACGCCTGTCTGCTTCCTAACAGGTTGCAAGAAGTGAAAGGCATGGCCGACCGCATCATTAGCATGAGGACCCAGTTGGTCTCCAACCTGAAGAAAGAGGGCTCGGCTCACAACTGGCAGCACATCACCGACCAGATCGGCATGTTTTGTTTCACTGGCCTGAAGCCTGAGCAGGTGAGCGGGCTGTTTGTCACAGCCGGCCGGTAGACAGTAGACCTCTCCATTGAAGGCAGGCCAGAATCTGTCAGTGGTCACCTACGAAATCATTTCCTTAATTAGAGCCCATTTAGGTACAGGTGGCCCGTGGTGGTCCTGGGTTTGGTGGTGCCGCTGTGTTGTGAGATGAGGGTTCACTAGTGTCGCCCAGGCCGGTCACTCAGGCTCCAGCATCCCCACCTCCCCCCGTACCTGGGACTGCAGTCCTTGTCACTGATGAGGGCTGTGTGCCACCCCCCCACCCCCCACCTCCCCCAGCGTGTTCTCTCCACTGTTTGTTTTTCTCTCTGAATCTCCCATGATGCTGCAGTCTTCTGAAGTACATACCTGGGCCGGGGGGGGGGGGGGGGGGGGGGGGGGGGGGGTTGTTTGTTTCTTTATTTTTTTGGTTTTGGGTTTTGTTGTTTTTCTAGTTTGTTGGGGTGGAGGGGACTTTTGTGGGGGTTTTGTGTTTCGGTTTTTTGTGGTGCTGGGGAACAAACCCAGGGCTTCGCGTGTGGCATGTGATAGCTTGTTTGCTGTGTCTATGCTGACTGCTGGTACATCAAAAGGGAAAGGGAAGTTAGCTTACCATAACTGAATCCTAAGGCTGCTTAGTTTGGGATTTCATTCTTACCTGTTTATGCCTTGGAAATCACAATCTTACTTTAACATTTATTTTTCTTGTCTGTGTGAATGCACACACCATGGCATGCGGGTAGGTCAGAAGAGAGCCTTCAGGAGTCAGTCGGTTCTCTCCTCCTACCACATAAGTCCTGGGGATGAACTCGGTCGTCAGGCTTGACAGCGAGCCCCTTACCTGCTCAGCCGCCTCACAGGCCATCATTCCACTTTAAAATAGCTTTTTATTCCTCTTTTACTAAAACACACCGAGTTCTGTTTCAAGTGAGGAAGTTAAGGTTTTGTTATTTTTTTTTTTTTAACAAGTTGGCTATTGTGTGCCCTGTCGGGGCTGGAAAAGTTTGCCCGCCGGGAATTGTCAGTGTCTCTTCCCTCTACAGGTGGAGCGGCTGACCAAGGAGTTCTCAGTCTACATGACGAAGGATGGCCGCATCTCCGTGGCAGGGGTCACCTCTGGCAACGTGGGCTACCTTGCCCATGCCATTCACCAGGTCACCAAGTAATGACCAGGGTGCAGAGGAGCAGAGACCACCTTTCCCTTCAGCCTTTGCTCTCGTGAGAGTCACGTGCGGGATGGGGGGGGGGTGGATGGTGGTGAGTAGATCATGTTTTCAACCGCAGTGCATAAGGAATGTGTTCCTCGGAAAAGAGGTCGGGCAGAGGCCTCCACGGCTGGTGTCTGCAGCTTCGTCGGCTCCAAACCAAACTCCCTCGTCCTTTTGTCTCCAACTTTTCTGAAAGAGTTTACACATGCAAGAACATCGCAGCACCAAAAACCTGTCAGCCATGGCTTTACTGAAGCATCAGATGGTGCCAGGGGCTCCCCCGGGGACCCGCCTGAGACCGCCATATTAGAGGTTGTGAGAGGAAAACACCTAGTTCTGATGTTAGCAGATGTCCGTGTGTGTGTGTGTGTGTGTGTGTGTTGTCCCAGTGTGTGTGTGTGTGTGTGTGTGTGTGTGTGTGTGTGTGTGTGTGTGTGTGTGTGTGTGTGTGTGCTGTCCCAGTGTGGAGTGACTGTGTCAGCAGATCCCAATACAGAAACCATGCTTTACCAAAACCACCAAGTCTGTCGCCCGTTCAGCGAGGACAGTAAATGTTGTCTCGTCAGCCTGTCTCTTGTCATTGCGCTTCTCTGGCGTCTCGTCCCGTTCTGCTTGACTGACCATTAACTTCATCCTGTCAGGATTTCTGTAAGAATGGCTCATGCCAGCCCCCCTTTCTCAGCAAAGGACAGTGGGGAGTGGGAACCTGTACTTTTTCAGTCCCTGTCAGTGATTGGCTCCTACTGGATGGGGCCTCTGCCCAGCTGGACCTCTTCCTGCATCCTGGCTACACAGCCTGTCTCCTCACATGAGTCAGACAGTGCAGGGTAGGATCAGGAGATATTCTGGGGTTTGTGTGCTGCCAGCCCGCCTCAGACTCCACCCTTTGGAAAGCTGACCACCATCTGCTCGAATCCTGTAGACTGGCTGCCGCCTGGTTTCTCTGTTACAATAAAGTTGCTGTAGACCCAGCCACTGTCCACTCTTCTACTTAATGGGAAGAAGGGGGAGGGGTGGATGTACATTCTAAAGTCTGGAGTCATGTCCAGCTGACGGAAGCCAAAAGATGGATCAGCTTTCCAGTCCCAACTAGAAATGCATCTGGCTCTTCATCCTGCCTTTCAGGCGGTCTGGTCCAAAGGTGTTGACCAGATGGGTGTAATTCCTCAGACCTCAGGAGATGAGAGGGTAGAGTGTAACAAAGGAAAAAATACTGACATTCCTCACAAAACTGGAAAAAATTAACCAAATTTACATTGAAACACTAAAGACCACAGATATCAAATCCTTAGCGGAAAAACAACTACCAGCTGTATCATAATACTGATCTCAGACTGTGCTACATGGTATGCTATAGCAACAAGGGCAGCACCATGTGGACACAAGGACAGGCCAAGGGAACGAACAGAGGGTCAGAAATCAATCCACACAGCTACAGACATCTAGTGGGTTTTTTGGGGGGAGGGAGTTCAATACAGGGTTTCTCTGTGTAGCCCAGGCTCTCCTGGAACTCCCTCTGTAGATCAGGCTGGCCTCAAACTCAGAGATCTGCCTGCCACTACCTCTGGAGAGCTGGGATTAAGGGTTTGTGCCGCAACTGCCTGGCTTAAACATCCAGTTTTTAACAAAGATATGAAAACCTACACTGCCTGGCAAGATGGAACAATGAAATAAGGACAGAGAGATGGTACAAGTGTTCACAGCACTTGCTCTTGCCGAGGACCCAGGGTGGGTTCCCAGCACCCACAGGGCGGCTCACAACCGTCTGTAACTCCAGTTCCAGGGTATCCGGTATACTCTTCTGACAAGGGCCCTAGGAACCCACTTAATTCACATTGCATGCAACACACATAAATCTGGAAAAGAGAATGAAATGAAATCTGCATCTCCTCTGCCCCAAAAAATCATAAACTTGGCACAGTGGCACACAGCTTTAGTCCCAGCACTCAGGAAGCAGACTGTCTGAGTTCAAGGCCAGCCATGGCTACACAGTGAGATGTCCTCTCACACAGACACCCTCAATACGTAGTAAACCGAAGACATTAATTGTAAACTGCCAGAGGAAAGCATAGGGAAACATTTGTGATATAGGAATGGGCAAGAACTTTCTGAAAACTCAAATCCTCATTGTGATGCCGTTTGGAGATGTATCGAACCCTCTAATGGTGTCAGGGACCTCATAAGAGGCTGGAGTCAGCCTGCTTCTTCCCTCTGCTCTCTACATAGGAAACAGAATGGAGCAGAGCAGGAGGCCCACACCAGAAGCTTCCCTGCTGGCACCCAATCCCAGACTTCCCAGCTCCTGGAGCAGCAAGTGCTCTTAACCTATGAATGTCTCTCCAGAACCAGACTGGAGTCATGGGATAAATCTTTCTAGAACAAATACACTCGACTTACCGCTTCCATTGTTTAACCTACCCAGCTCAGCATCCAGTTACAGCAACCCGAATGGAGAATGTATGATTTCAATAACTTTTTTTTTTTTTTTTTAAAGACAGGGTCTCACTATGTAGCTCTGGCTGCCCTGGGACTCTGTGTAGACCAGGCTGGCCTCAAATTGCCAGAGATGCACCTGCTTCCCAAGTGCTAGGATTAAAGGTTTAGGACACCATGTCCTACTCTAACCTTTTTAAAGTGAAAAGCCTTTAGGAATAGAGAACAAAGGTCCGGGGAGGGGGTTCAGTCACTAAGCACTTCTGTGAGCATGAGGACCTGAGTCTGAATCCCCAGAACCCATGAGGAAGTGGAGACTGGCAGGTCCTTGGAGCTCTCTGGCCAGCTAGTCTACTCCAAACGACCAGCTTCCAGGTCAGTCACAGGCAGGAAACAATGAAGGAAGACACCCAGTGTCCTCTAGCCTCCACATTCTGCCCACAGGCACGTGTACCCACATACATGTGCACACCTCCATACACCACACACAACACACGCATACCTAAGGAAATAGGGGGTGGATTTGAGATTCTAGGAGGCGTCTGGTGGGGGGGGGGGGGGGGGTAAGTGTAAAAATGAAAAGAAGACTACTCCAGCCAGGGAAGCAGGTAGGCTAACTGCAGATCTTCACCTCTCCCTCCCCTCCTCCAAATCCAATCCCCCAGTCTCATCCCCATCTCTGTAGTCCTGATTCAGCCTTCCCCCCACCCCACTCCCCTCTCCAGTGGATCACACAGATCTTCCCCTCCTAACCTCCATTCCCCACCCCCACCCCCGACTTAACTGCTTTATCCCAGCCCCCAACTCCAACAGCACTCCCCGAGAACCCACAGGCCACTCTGATCAGGGAAGCAAGGGGGCTAACCCTCAATCTTCACTCTCCCTCTCCTTCAAATCCAGTCCCCCAGCCTTACCTCTAGTTCTGTAGCAGAACACCTGCTGCGGCCTTCCTCCTCCCCCACCCCCACCTCCAGCAGATTACACAGATCTTTCCTCCCCTCTCTAAACTTTACACATTGCTTTATCCCAGCCCCTAACTCCAAGAGGCATTCCCTGGGAACCTGCAGGCCACTCTGGCCAGGAGGAAAGCAGGTAAGCTAACTGCCGATCTTCACCTCTTCCTCCATTCTTCCAAGTCCCATTTTACGTGGAGCCCACCAGAGATGACCGCTCAGATACAGTTTATAGCCAACTGAAAGTCTTTATTACAGCCAGCTAGAACTACACTCAGGTACTCAGGACCCAAGAGTAGTTTCGAGCATTTAGAGCAAGGGGCTTTTAGAGGCAAAAACCACATCCTGGCATCTCATTCAGCAGCTACAGAGGGAGGTTTTGGGAAGCAAGCAGGTTACTAGAAGTTGAGATAAGTTAGCTGGAGCATCTTGACCTCGGGTTCCTAGAATAGAGCTGGGTAATTTTCCATGGGATTCTCCATCAAGGAGATCAAATTCCACTTAAACCTAAAATGGCCTCAGCAAGAGTACAAGATGGAGGAACCTCTGTGTTGTCTAGCCCTGTCACACCAATCCACCAGTCTCATCCCCAGCTCTGTAGCAGACCATCAACTTTGGCCTCTCCTGGCTCTCTGCCTAGGGGACTAAGCAGATCCTGATGAACACCCTGCTTTCCTCCCTCCTGTGCCCCACCCCCAGCCCCTCCTCCATGCCAGATGTTCTGTGTTGTATGAGATGATCAAAGAAGGAGGTCACTCCAAGATGAAGTTTAGGCCCCTGTGGCAGCAGGAACATGAAGCCTCTGATGGACTGATCTCCAAACAGTCATTCAAAGGCATGTTTATTGATGGTTACACAAAGTTGGTTTTTTGGATAAACAAGTTCATCATACCAAAGTCCTTGATCTATATGTTTTTCTGAAGAAAAGGATCACATGCACACCCCACACTTTAGCCTTTATTGGCTACTATTTGCAGTACCCAATAATTCAAGAGCTCCAGGTGGACCAGGAACATCTTGTGACAAAGTCACGCAAAGGCCGTAAAGCTGCTTCAGAAAAACAACTCTAAAAAGGACAGAAAACAATCACTGTTTGAATGAAAGAAAACAATCTTTCCACTGAGATTTCTTCAATGTCAAAGTACTCCGAAAACAAGTATTCATTGTGATGTTTACCTTAGAAACGAAAACAACTATTCTGTTCCAATGTCTGCCCTTGATACAGTAACTCTTCTGGACTCCTACAACACCTTTTAACCCATCCCAACCCCTAAGTGTCAGCTCCCAATACCTAGGAACACTTTTTACCTGGAACCTCCCAGTAGCCCTACCCGTCAGGATCCCAGAAGAATTTCCTACCCGGCAGCACACAGCCACTACACTCTCCTAAGAACCAGAAAGTGCAAGAGAAACCAAGAAACAAAACACCACCTAAAAAGGACAAGGCCAGATATCAGCACCTAGAATTACAATTCTCCCAAACACAGATGCCTAGACGCCAACATAAAAACACAATCAATAACAGCCAGGACAGTATGTCTCCACTAGTGCCCAGTAACCCTACCGCAGCAGGCACTGAGTGTTCCAACATAGCTGAAGCACAAGAAAAAGATCTTAAAACAGCCTCTATTGGCCAGGCCGTGGTAGTGCACGCATTTAATCCCAGCACTCTGAAGCCAGTCTAGTCTACAGAGTGAGTTCCAGGACAGCTAGGGCTATTACACAGAGAAACGCTGTCTCAAAACAAAACAAAAAGCCTTTATAAATATAATAGAGGTCCTTAAAGGGAAAATGAATAAAATCCCTTAAAGAAATCTATGAAATCAGAAAGCAGAGGCAGGCGGATCTCTGAATTCAAGGCCAACCTAGTTTGCAGAGTGAGTTCCAGGACAGCAAGGACTACACAGAGAAACCCTGTCTCAAAAAACAGAGAGAGAGAGAGAGAGAGAGAGAGAGAGAGAGAGAGAGAGAGAGAGAGAATCCAAATTAACAAAATTAGAAATGAAGGGACATCATAACAGACACCGAAGAAATCCAAATAACCATAAGGACATACTTTAAAAACCTGTACTCCATCTAATTGGAAAATCTAAGAGAAATGGATACTTTTTGATTGATGCATACCACTTACCAAAGTTAAATCAAGATCATATAAACAATTTAAATAGATTTATAGACCCTAATGAAATAGAAACTGTAATTAAAAATGCTCCTCTCAAAAAAAGCTCAGATGGTTTTAGCACAGAATTCTACCAGACTTCATTAGTCAGGGTTCTCTAGAGTAACAGAACTTATAGAATGAATGCAAATATATATATATTCATATATATACATACATATATATACATACATATTCACATACTGAAGACGACACCTACACTACTCATTGAACATGGAGAAGCTGACACAGTACCTGCATAGAGCCTTCCCCCTTACATGTTAGTATCTTTGGTACAGGAAGGTACTCTGACGCTACTAAAGAAGAAACGTAAACACCAACCCAGCCACGAAACCTTGACCTAAAATGGTTACTACCTGCAAGATATGCTAGTGCGATGGTGGCACAAAGCTTGTGGGAGCAGTCA